ATTACAAACTTGTTTTCAAAATAGTATATTGTCAGAGTATCCTAGAATCAAATCATAAAATCATAAAATGTGAGGAGCGGTACGATCATGCCTTTGCCTTCCCGCGATCATCAGAAGTACCTGAACCAATAATCGATAAATGTAAGCTCGAAGGCTTAGTGAGTTACCCCCAAAATACCAACGCCATACAATCATAATCATATCATATAACATATAAGCAAATAACATGCATAATGAGCCATCAGTCTGACTGGACCGAATCCCGATCCTCAGTCTATCTGGACCGCTCTCCGAGCCCTCGGCACGTCTGGACCGCCCTCCTCGGGCCCTTCAGCCTATCCGGACCGCTCACTGGGCCTTCGCCCTAACTAGATTTGCCCGGCCCGGCCTGCAGTCTACCCGGTCCGCCCAGGGTGTCTTGGCCTACTGCACACAGCAGGACCTACCTCAACCCTTTCCCCAACCCAACAAACATGTTCACACACACACACATATATATATATATATATATATATATATATATATATATATATATATATATATATATAAACAGGTAAACATGCAGATCTAACAGATCACTAATCATAGCAACCATCCTATAACCAGGATACTGATTTAACCGATCTCTAGCATAGCAACCATCCTAAACCAGGATGAAACCTAACATGGCAACCATCCTTGACCAGGATGAATTCTAGCATAGCAATAATCATAGCAACCATCCTAACCCAGGATGTAATCTAACATAGCAATAACATAACGACCATCCTAAACCAGGATGTAAATCATAAAGGGTCGACCTTGGTGTCGTAGACCCTATTGATATAGTGAGGATAACTCACCTCGTAACTGTCGTCTGAAACTAGAAAGCTCAACTCCCGGATCACCACCACAAACTCCACCACCTATATCCGACACATCACAAAGTTCATAGGTTTCCAAGATACTTCCAGAAGTCCAATAGTCAACCCTTGCCCAAAGTCCAAGACAACTTTCAAGGTCAACAGTCCATGTTGACCTCAACTCGTCGAGTATCCTTAGCTACTCGCCGAGTTCCTAGCATGACTCGCCAACTCGTCGAGTCACTCGAGTGACTCGTCGAGTTCCTAGTGTCCGTGGTCGTAACCCCTCGGCCAACCCGCCGAGTTTTCCCTTTACAACTCGCCGAGTTCATACGTGTCCGAAGGTTGGGAAAACCCTAACCGACTCGCCGAGTCATTCAACTGACTCGCAGAGTCCAAGGCAATCTTCATCGGAATCGCCGAGTTGTTCCTCCAACTCGTCGAGTGCAGGACCATCTTCATGTGGCTCGTCGAGTTGACTATGCAACTCGCCGAGTCTCTTCAGACCTTCATCCATATGGGTACTTTTAAGCCATGCAGCGGCTCCATATTGCAGATCCAGGCTTTTAAGGCATGTTTATCACGTAAAGTTGCAAACTTTTACGTGCATGCAAGGCCCTAGAGACTCTAAATGACCAATCTAAGCTTCTAATGGGGCTTTACACCTTAGGAGAGTCTCATTCTTGCACAATCTGGAAACTTTATGGACTTAGAGACCCAAGAGAGTTCAGATATGAGGTTGCAACCTCAGATCTTAGCTCAAACATAAGAAAGGCTTCCTAATTAGCTAGAAAAGCCCTAAAATCCACCCAAAATAGATCTAGAATGAAAAGAGGTCAAGGTAACAACTTGATACCTTCCAAAAGATGCTAACTGAGGTAGATATCAGATCCCCACTCGTTTCTTTCTTCTAGCCTCTTGCCCTCCAAGCTCTTCTTTCAAAGATCCACTTTCCAAAGCTTAAAACACACAAGAATGAAGCACCACACGGATTAGGGTTTTCTGGACTCTCAAGAGACTGTAAAGAGGCTGAAGGAAGCTTATGATTCTTTAAATAGGGTGCAAAACCCCGGGATTTAGGGTTTCATCTGCCAGTTCCTACTCGTCGAGTCCCTTCTTGGACTCGGCGAGTAGGTCACTAAAATATGTGGACCAACCCGCTGCTACTCGACGAGTAGGGCAACCAACTCATCGAGTAGACCTTGAAATCAAAGAAATTCTTATTTAAATCAGTACCTGAGAATCGGGGCGTTACACCATTGCTGCATGGTTACTCGAAAAAAATCAATCAACATTGTTATTAATTGGTAGTTTTCGTGCTTCTCTTGAAAGCGCATTGATTTACTCGGTGTTGTTTTGATGTCATAATATTGTACTGAACCATAGGGAAACATGACCTTGCCCATTTCTCGAAACCGATTCTATCTATCCATGTACGACAGTCTTCGTTTAGTGCACAACGTAGCCTACCCATGCTTTCTTTGAAATCAGACTGTTGGTAAGCTTTTGCAGCCTCCTAAAAAAATATTTATTCTATCTTATTTGCCGATCTTTGTTCTCATATTCCTCAACAAATGGTGACAACAGAGTCCGTGATATGCATTTGGGAATACAACTTGAATAGTCATTTCAACTGAATTGGCTCTATTATAATATGATGGCCAAAGACGACATGTCCCCACTACATTATGTGAGTCCTAATAAAAACCATATCCATGGATCCCCACTTTCAGTTTTTCCCGACACCAAATGCAATAGGGAGGATTTGGTTATTACCATCCATGCCTACTGCTAGGAATATGGTGCCCAAGTATTTCCCTTTAAGGTGTGCTCCGTCAATGATAATAATAGGACACAAACTTGTTTGAAACGCACGAACCTAAAAAGTATTTTAATATTACTCATTAAAGTGAACATATGTGTAACAACATTAAATATAAAGAACTCATTATATAAGAAATGTTACCGCGCAACCGATAGCCATGAAAAAGTATTCAAATTTGTTGTCATAACTTGTCTCTATATGTGTAACCGTCCTTGGATTCTTATTTTGCAAGTTGTAACAATATAAAGGTAGTCTATAAAAGCTTTCTTCAGGGGTCCCTCTCAACAAATTTAGAGCATACATATTAGCACTTCATGCTTGCCAGTATGAAATATGTACACTAAGACGGTCATTTAAAGTTCGTTGTATCTGTTTCCCCCGCAATATATTACTTGTACTATCAACTAATATGCCCTTCAAGAAGTGATCCAATACCTTTTGTTGGATTGTCGGTGATGTGGACGTAGATGTGTGTTTGAAAAAGTGTGTTTCTTCGATAGTTTAACCATTTGAAATGTATAGTATTATGTTTGTTACCCGCCGGTCATAATTCTCCATAAAGCAAATAGCTTCAAACTTGTCTTTTGTGGATTTTTTCATTTTATATTGGAAGCCTTCAATAACACTTTTGAATCCTAAATTAAGCTTAACTTGTTCTTTGCTTTTGAAGAGTTGGTATAACTTCACATAGGATGTATAATTGTGGGCTGTGACACCTTTAGTTTCTTTTAGCTAATTCGGGCAATGGTAAAGCTCAAGCATACCCTAATGAGTGGTTTGTGTTTCTTCATAATCGGAAAAAGAAAATGGAAACTTTTCCTATTGTGGTTTTCGGGGTTGTAAGGGTTCAGTTCCCCCCTCTTCACCTTCAGTATCTTCCCCATCAAATTCAGTGTAACTTTGAAAATGTTCAACTGGCTCTCCATGTGCAATTATATTACCATCATCAACCAACATCGTTAGTTTTGTCTCATCATTTACTGATTCATCAACTTCAACTATAGGAGAAGCATCAGAAACAACTTTACCTTTATACCTAAAATCACCCCATCTATAGGGTCTTTTTAAGAAGGAACATGGTTGGTTTTCATAGGTAATAAATTACAAATTTGGTTACTACCACACCAGAATACCCATTTCCACCAAAACGATTTTCCCCGACAAATCGATGAATACCACTTTCTATAACGTTATTAACAATAAACATTTGTACCGTGTTGGGATGCATACTACTAACAAAACTAAGAAAATATCTGATATCACTATCGTCAATAATCTGTATAACTATATTTGATCAAAGACATTGAAAAGTAGACGTATTTGGTTAGTGTGTAACCTGAACTTGGAAACAACCAACGTAATTAACCCAACGAAGTTGATATCATTGCTTATATCTACACCAAAACATGTGTAGTCTGGAGCAATATATTGCATAGATCCCTCGATACGCTGTCATTGCCCTCTACTAGAGGCACTCGAAAAAATCTTGTATATATACTCATTACGGAACGTGTAAGGAAAGTATCAAACACACAAATATATTGCATATATGGAACAAAACACACAAATAACCTAATTTTACATCTCCGGAATCTACGGGCATTCCGGACTACAGTCCATAATTCACTTTTTCAATCCGGAATGTACGGGATGTCAGATTCCGGACCTAATTCCTACCAACCACCAACAACTTCAGAACAAAAATAAATACTCTGGAATATCGTATTCCGGAATACTTTAGACGACCCAACTCCGAAATGATGTTACGTGTTCCGGAATAGGATATTTCGAAGAAAGTGGTCATTTCTAAAAAAATAAATAAATAAATAAATAAAAATAAAAAAAATAAGATAATTATTTTTATTAACAAACTCTTTTATAACGATTAGTTTACTCGATTTCCTTAAAGTCTTAAAAAAACCACTATATTATTTTTTTGTACGTTAAAACCCTTATATTTTTTAAAATGTATCATTCAAGGCATTGAGCTCAGTAAATCCTAGATAGTAAAAAATGTTAGGTAATCGATTCTTAACGTTTCTATTGTTACAATTCATTGATTAAAAAAATTTTAAAAAAATATGAGGGTCTAAATACACTAAAAAAAGTAATATAATGGTTTTTTGAATCCTTTCATGAAAATAGATTAGGTTTTTTTGAGGTTAGAAAACCTTAAATAAGATTTTTAGAAAATATAAGGGTTTAGTGTACTAAAAAATAATATAATGGTTTTTTTAAGCATTTGATGAAAATACGTTGGGTTTTTCCGGGTTTTCCCTTTTTAAAAGTCCATAACAAAGAACATTTATTCCTAAACCAATGCAAAGGTAAAACAATGATGTCATCAAATATTGGTAAAACAATGATGTCCGAAATTCCCCACCCCCAAAATTTCAAATTCAAAAGGCTCAAACCAAAAAGAGTTGCACCTCACGCCTCTAAAACAGCATCTCTTCAATTTAGGTTTTTTACCCAGATTACAAATTCCTATTGAATGGAAGGTGCAACAATGATGTCTGAAACATCCAACGAAGACGACGAACCTCAAATCTCTGAATATTCGGCCCAAGAAAGTATCGCAGCTTTAGAAGTTGAGGGAAACCGGAAGCGTAAAGCATCTAGTTGTGATTTTGATTCACAAAACCCCTTTAGTTCGCAGAGTGATTACACGCATGAAGGCGACAAAGGAACCCCGATTATTACTGACCTGCTTCAGGCTGGTGGTGTTTTTGACTGGGAGAAAAAGATGAGTGCAGTTTCTTCGATGGACGAAGATGACGACCTATCCTTCGATCACATGGTTTGTGATTCAAGCTCCAAGCTAATTCCAAATGGATTTATGAGGTCAGACAGTACAGGTTAGTGATTTCGACTAATTTTCGAATTTCACATAGGTGTAATTTCAAATTTACGATCTATTCTTCCTCGTGTATGATTAGAACAAGTTATTATGTTCATTTCGAGTTTCAGTTCCATCTTTTTCTTTCATTTCGAACGCTGTACATGATTCAGAACTGTTACATTACTGATTCTTTAGATTATTTTTCCTCCAGACCTTGTGATGTTCGTAAATGCTGGAGCAGAAACCATGATTGAATCTGATTCAGATATAAAGTTTGAGGCTGATAACTTCTTTGAAGGAGGAGATACATTTCAAACTAACGAGTGTATGACTGATGGTGGTGATTTTCTCTTCATTTATCACACAGCAAGATTAGGAAACTTCCATTACCGATTTAACAATCTAACTGAGGGATATTACTACATTGATCTTCACTTTGTTGAAATGATAAACACATTTGGTCCTAAAGGGATGAGAGTGTTCAATGTATTCTTGCAGGATGAAAAGGCAAGTTCAATAATCAAATACCCTTTTCTTCAACTCGAAATCTCAATAATTTATTAGAAAAGCTTTCAATTACAATTCTCAAACTTTTATTTTTCATTTTTTTAACAGGTTCTCTCAGATTTTGACATCTTCTCTGTGGTTGGAGCTAATAAGCCTTTGCAGCTGGTTGACTTAAGAGTTTCTGTTAAGAACAATGAAGCAATTGTAATTCGATTTGAAGGCATAATTGGTAGTCCTTTAGTTAGTGGTATCTGCATTAGAAGAGCACCTAAATTACAAGGTATAGCTAAAGTTTGTCTTTTGAAGTAGCATAAATGTAACATTTAAATCTTGATTTTATGTTGTTTCAATTCCAGATTCTGATGTGAAACATGAATTTCTAAGATGTCAAAACTGTGCTACTGAGATAGAAGTCCATTCAGCTCAGGTACAAATACAATGCATGTGAATAATTATGGTTGTTAATTCTTATTAATGATTTCTAATATTATAGAAAAAAAGGATGCGAAAAGAATCAGTAGAAAAATATGAAAAGAGGATACAAGAGTTGACTAGTCAATGCCAAAACAAGAGTGAAGAATGTTATCAAGCTTGGATGGATTTAACTGCAACAAATGAGCAACTGGAGAAGGTTCGAATGGAACTTGATAATAAGTTCTTTGAGTCATGCACTTTTGGTAAGATTTTATCTAAATGTTTTTACTTTTTTTTTATATATATAAAAACTAGAATTCTTTTTTGATATTTTAAATGTCTTCCCGGGTATCCTTGTATTTTGCAATTTTGGTCCCAAAAAGTCTTTTCTAGTAATTTTGGTCCTTATTTTGAATTTTCCTAACGATTAAAGAACTTTTTGGGACCAAAATTGTAAAACAGCAATACTCAGGGACCATTTTGTAACTTACTCAATTTTCTATCAGATCAAACGATGGAAAAACAATCTGAAAAGATAAAGGATATATCAAGTAGATATGAGCACGACAAGAAGATTTGGTCAACAGCAGTCAAAGAGTTATCAGACAAAATAACTGTAATCAACTAACTACCTTAACCTTTGCAATTATTTATCATTAAAACTAGATTCTTTAATTTTAGTAAAATCTTTTTCACAAAATCTTTATGATCATTATCCTATTTAGGTGTTGAAGCAAGATCATGCTAAGTTGTCTCTTGAAGCACACGAATGTGTTGACTCAGTTCCTGATCTAGCAAATATGGTTTCTGCAGTTCAATCTTTGGGTAGGTTTCTCAAAGTGCAAGAAATAGCAACATATTTTCATTTATTTGTTTATTATAGCATCCTACTAAACAAATCAATGGAAGTACATTGATATTTCTTGCATTAATATTGTGTCATTTGCAGTTTCCATGTGTGAGGATCTTAAAGTGAAGTACAGTGAAGAACAAGCGAAAAGAAGAAAGCTTCATAATCAAGTTGAAGATGCAAAAGGTACACCACAATAACATTGTGTTCATCAATACACATTCGTCTCTCTCTCTAGATCTCAAATGGTTTTGGTATGCTTCTTATCGGGCTTCACTAACAGATTTATAGAAGTTTATATGAATTTCTCACCAAATACGACTGTAATTTACAAATACCATACTATCGCATACTGATTTCTTCAATTCCTTTTAGGAAACATAAGAGTTTTTTGCCGATGTCGTCCATTAAACAAATCGGAAGCTTCGTCGGGTTGTTCAACGGTTGTAGACTTCAATACAGCTTCAGATGGAGTTCTCGGAGTTTTAACCACTGGTTCGACATCCACAAAGAAGACCTTCAAATTCGATTGCGTTTTCACACCAAAAGACAATCAAGGTTCGTTTACTCAAAAACCTAATTAGATAACAAATTAATTCAATGATTTTGAATTTCCATTCAATTTCGTTTTTGTACCTTAACCAGATGACGTTTTCGCGCAAGCTTCACCACTTGTAACTTCCGTTTTGGACGGATACAACGTATGCATATTTGCGTACGGACAAACCGGAACAGGGAAGACGTTCACCATGGAGGGCACTTCCGGCAACCGCGGCGTCAATTACCGGACACTTGCAGAGTTGTTTAAAATTTCTAACGAAAGGAGCGATACGTTTACGTATAACATATCAGTTAGTGTTCTTGAAGTTTATAATGAACAGATTCGCGATCTTCTTGCACCTCCATCAACAACTTCAAAAAAGTAAAATCATTATCCAATCTTTGATAATTTATGAACATAACTACTTGGATTCAGTTACTTATTTAGTTTTGGAAATTTAGGTTGGAGATAAAGCAAGCTTCTGAAGGTTTTCATCATATTCCTGGATTGATAGAAGCGAAAGTTGAAGATGTAAAGGAAGTATGGAATGTTCTGCAAACAGGAAGCAGTGCTAGAGTTGTTGGATCGAATAATGTAAATGAACGTAGCAGTCGTTCTCATTGGTAAACAAGGATCTAATTTTTATATCTCTGATTTACATGCTCTTTGTGATGGTTTATTAATTTTGACTTTTTTTTAGCATGCTTTGTATTGTGGTAAGAGCAAAGAACTTGTTGAATGGAGAGTGTACAAAAAGCAAGTTATGGCTGGTGGATTTGGCTGGAAGTGAAAGGATTGGAAAGACTGATGCTCAAGGTGATAGGCTTAAGGAAGCACAAAATATTAATAGATCCCTTTCAGCTCTTGGAGATGTCATATCTTCTTTAGCAAATAAGACCAATCATATTCCATATAGGTTGGTTTACTTTCTTTCTTTTTTAACAAAGAAATTCATATTATAAAAAAGTTAAATCTTTCTTTTTCCCTTTCATCCAGGAATTCCAAGTTGACACATTTACTTCAAGATTCCTTAGGTACAATTCAATTTCTTCTATGCTTATGACAGATGTGGGACAAAATTGCAAAAAGACGTGAATGCCCTTGGTTTTTGCAGGAGGGGACTCGAAAACATTGATGTTTGTCCAAATTAGTCCCTCGGAGAAGGACTTGAGTGAAACATTAAGTTCCTTAAACTTTGCAACAAGGGTGAGAGGGGTTGAATTAGGTCAAGCTCGAAAGCAAATTGATACAAGTGAGCTTCAAAAACTTAAAACAATGGTAAGTAAATGTAAATCAATCATCAATATGTGTTACATTTGTTTATGTGTTATGAGTGTTTTATAGTATTTTGACATTCTTGATTTTGATCATGAAGCTTGATAAAACGAAGCAAGAATCACATTTGAAAGATGAATCGTTGAGGAAACTAGAAGAAAGCTTGCAAAATGTTGAAACAAAAGTTAGAGGAAAAGATCAGACATATAAAAACCAGTTGGAAAAGATAAAGGAGCTTGAGGGAAAATTGGAGATGAAAATTGGATTGCAATCTCAATCAGAAAAAAAAGTTCTAAATCTTTCTGAGAAATTGAAGGCGAAAGAGGAATCCAATGATGTCCTCCAACAAAAGGTGGTACATGATTATCCTGTTCTGATCTGTTCTGTCTGTTCTGATGTCAGGTTTTGTCTGCTATAAAGGTTAAGGAGCTTGAAAGCAAATTTGGAGAGCGGGAACATTCAAATTCAATAACTTATCAACATAAGGTATAATGTGACATTTATTTTTTCTATTTTGTTTTTCCTTCTCATAAAATTAATTTTAGGGATACTAATCAAATGAGAATTTAAAAAGCAGGTTAGAGACCTTGAAGACAAGTTGCAAACACAAGTTCAAGAATCAAAATCTTACTCCAACACCCTTCAAGAAAAGGTCATTAGAAATCACAACCCCTAACAATATATTTCACTTAAATGGGTGATAAAAAAAAAGTTTTATTTTATATTCTTTGTGTTTTATTTTACTTTTCAGATTGATGAACTTGAAAAGAAGTGGAAAGAACAAAAACAGGATTCCGATTCCATCTTGCTCCATCACAAGGTCAAAAAAAGTTTAATCACCAAAAATCATAAAACTCTCAAAAAAAACTTTACACTTTTGGTCCTTGAGTATATGATTTTTGCAATTTTGGTCCTTATTTGAGGTTTTGTAACATTTTTGGTCCCTGTTTTATGTTTTTGGGACACAAATTGAAAAAACCAGCTATACTCAAGGACCAAAAGTAGTCGATTTATTTGGAACATGGACCAAAAATGTTAAAAAATACCTCATGTAAGGACCAAAATTGCAAAAATAAACTATACCCAAGGACCAAAAATGTAACATGTTTTATAATTGCAGATTAAGGAGCTTGAAGAGAAGCTTAAAGAGCAAGATGAATTAAAAAACGAGATGGAAGAACGTATTTTAAAGAGTAGTAATATTATGAACACTCAAAAGATGCCTAGTTGCAAGAGGCCAAGTTTGCCAAGAAGAAATGATTTTGTGGGTAGTGATATAAAAAAGAAAAGGTTGTCAAGAAATAGTGACGTGGAAAATATTGTCACTCCATCAACTTATTGTAATACTGAAAAAGTGGGAAGGAAATCAGAGGTCCCACGACCTCCAACAAGGATGGTGAATAAACCAACTTCATCATCCCGAAGGACTTTGCCTCATGGATTCAAAGAGAAAGAAACCAAGAAAAGGATGTGGGCTTGATAAGTATCATCTATCAAATCAATGCGCCTGATATATTTACTTATATGTATCAGGCGCATTGTATGTATGTATCAGATCGATTGTGTACACAATCGATCTGATACGTATAGTTAAAATACATGTGTGTATTAGGTATTTGTGCAAGTGAGTTTGCTTTGAATATGATTTGAAGTCGATGTTGTTTAGGAACTTATATATTTTAGGTAGAGTAACATGTGTTGTTTTCTAGATGTGTACCTTTGGGTTCACCTAACCTTACTTGATTGATGTTTTAGGAACAATGATGGATCTTAATTTAATTCAAAAGCCGTTATCGCAAGCTCAAATGTTGCTTTTTTTCTTCTTGTTTTGTGATGCTATGATGTATAAACTTATAGTAATGTTGCCTGCTTTAGACTTCTATAAACATGCTATGTTTAATGGCATTTCGAAGAGCAAATGAAAAAGAGTAAATTTGAAACTTATAAAAGTGAGCTCAATAATGATGATAAATGATATGATGTATAAACTTATAGTAATGTTCCCATTTTAGGCTTATAAATGATATGATGTATAAACTTATAGTAATCATTTTAGACTTCTATAAACATGCTATGTTTATCCACTTTTAATCCACATTACCTGCTATCAACAATTTAAAACTAAAAATATTGATGATGTGGAAAGTGTTGTCTTTTGAGCTCAAGAGATATCCATATCTCAATTGATATCTGAAGAGACAATTCATTATTATTACGGACATGGATATCTGAAGATGCATGTTACTAAGATCGATGTCTCTTCAATTTAACTCGCATATGATTTCAAAAGGTAATTTATAGAAATAGTCCCTAAAGTTAAAGGTAATTTACATAAATGGTCCCTAGAGTTAAAGTCATTGTTATTAACAAAATTTCATAAACTAATGGATATTATGCTTGAAAAACATGATGGACATTAATAATTTGTGGTGGAAAAGTACCCATAGTTAGTCCAAATGAAAAAAATAATATATGGTCAGTCTGAACAATTATTTATGAAATACAACAAACTTATGAGCCTTTATTGTCGCAGTACCTTTATAATATCTTACAATACTATGTAAACAATTATTTATGAAATACAACAAACTTATGAGCCTTTATTGTCGCAGTACCTTTATAATATCTTACAATACTATGTAAACGGTGGATGTAATCGGTTGTAATATAGATATTGTAATTTTGTAATCTAAGATTTGCTTCTAGAGTTGCAAGTATTATCCTCGAGACAAAATTTGATGTAGGGCTTAACAGAAGTTGATATTACACCAAACCTCTTCCTAAAAATAGTTTTGATGATTTTGGTATATTCATCTAACAAACTTTTGAGAGCTTTTAGTTTTTATCTTCTAAGAAATTTAAACAAAAAACTTATAATCCAAAAACTACTTCAAATGCTTTTAGCTTTTTTTTGTTTCAATTCATTTCACATATTTCAAAAGCTTGGACTATTTTTTTCCAAACATTTTTACACAAATAAAAGGTACATCCATTTTGCCAAAACATATCCATAAATCGTTTTTATAACATATACTACCAAGCTTAAAGGGTGTAGAAAGATAAAAGTTCTAATGTAAATTGTTATATAAATTTTGATTTGATTTGATTTTATTAGGATTTGATTGGATAAGGATACCATCGATTATGGATAAATATGTAGTTAGGATAGACATGATCCCATAAATAATGGGATTTAGTTAGATAGCTATTTATTGTATATAATATTCCACATCTTGTACATTACGAAATATCAAGAAAAGAAAGATTACCATAAAAATCTTCACACTTCACCCCATATATCAGAACATGCAAATTAATTCATAAACACTCTTTACATAACGCAAAACTAAATCTTACACCACAGACAATATTTTTTTCTTCAATGTCAATCTAAAGATATAACTATGTGTAGCATCCACCAATCACTCTTATTGTATGCTAATATATTAATCTTTTAAAATACAACTCATGAAAATTACAAAAAAAAAAAAAAAAAAAGATGTTTGTTTCTCAGGCAAGCTTACTCCTCACTAGTCCTTTGAAGAAATCAAAACTGTATATAATACCACATGAATCTTTTTAGTTTATTTTCAGTTTCATATACTTCAAAAGTAACAATTCTTATTAAAAATAAATTTAGAGTTAAAAAAAAAGTAACAATTTTGATACCTATTTCCATCTGGATGAAGCTCACATCTTTCACCATTATCAGCAATGGCCAATAAGTATCCTGAAGATGTTAACCCCTGAAATTAACAACTCAAATTATCAAGACTCCAAGTATGTTTATTGATATATTTTATAACACTATTTTAATAAATAAAAATTAGAAAAAATGTCATTTAACAATTCTTGATTTGCTCACCTGAACAGTGACTACATTTTCTGTTGGCAAATCTTGTTCTTGGTTTTTTTCTTGAACAATAATCCTCTGCCCACTGCACAAATTAAATCCATAATAACGGAAATTACTTTTTTACCCTTTTTAACAAGATGAATGATGAACAATAACTAATATACCTATGGAGCCATGTCTTGTAATATAGCTCCTCAAGGGGTTGGAATCCTGCATTTTAAATTAAAAAAAAAAAAACCATGAATTATACTTTTTTAAAAAATATAAAAATAAATTAATACTCACCTTGGTGTATCAAAATATGGAAGAAATGCTCGAATTTATCAAAGAAAGTTGATGTAATATCTTCTCTTTGTAATTTGTAATCAGAATTTAATTTTTGGAGCTCTGAATTCAAGGATGTTGTTGGCTTATCATTATCAACATTCAATCCTACTCCTGCAATTGAAAATTTTAACAATTTAAAAAAATAAAATTGAAGCTTTTTAAACAACAATTAAATGCAAAGATGAAGTTTATCAATTACCAACACTAATATTGAATATCTTGGATTGATATGTTGATCCACACAAAATTCCTCCCACTTTAAGCCCATTGAAGTAAAGATCATTTGGCCATTTTATTCTAACATCAAGAGGAGGAATACCCTGAAATTAATATTACAAAACACTTGTTAATGTTATAAAATGACAAATCCATGTTTAGAAATTATGTTATTTTAGCTTACATTTCTTATAGAAAGATTCTTAATTGCTTCAGTCATAGCAAGACACACAACATATTGCACAAGAGGAACCACATGTCCATTTTCCATTTGCATTGTAAATGATAAAAGAAGGCTTCCCTTTGGAGATTCCCATGTATTGTGTGAACGCCCTAAAATTATAATTGTTGAATTTCCGATAAATGATTTTATAGATTTGAATCATTTGATTGATACCTCGTCCTTTGAATTGAAGATCTGCGATGCATACAGAACCAATTGGAAGCTCAAAGAAGTTGCTGCATAAACCCTAAATGATTCAATGACTGAATTAGAATACAAATGATATGAATTTCTAAAGCTTCTTGCACTTACAGGCTGACAATGTCTTGAGTAGAGGGTAATCGTGGAGACCAAAGAATAAATCTTCCGAAACATTTAGTTTCAAGAGCATCCATGTAAGTATCGATGTTGAATTCGTCTTTTTCTGATTGCGTTTCCATCTCAGAGTGCAAATAGGTCTGGAACTTTTACATCATCTGTGATTTTAAGGGTTGAATTTTCTTTCAAAGACCTTGCAAATTCCTTCTCGCTTTCGGATTTTCCACTTAAAACTAGTACAACAGGTCGTTGGGACTCCATGTTTGCTATAAAAAAGTATGTCCCAATTAGTATACTCATATCATAAACACTGGATTCTGCAATCTTAGATGATAGTGATTATGATTTTCATTTTTCCTAATGATGGTTGAATTATTAATTGTCGTTCTTTAAATCGCAATAATCACTTTAAAAAAATGTAATTCAGATATGTTTTCGGTACATATATAACATGATTTGGAACTGAAAAACAAATTAATCAAATGGGGTAGTGGTTTTGGTGTGCAAGATTAGCTTACCTGATGCAGTAGCTACTGAGAGCGAGCGACTGAAAATATTGGAGTAAGAAGGTCGAGTGAAGGAAAAGGAGTGGTGTAGAGAGAGAAAGCAGTGGAAAGAAGTTCGTAAAGTATTGAATAGCATTGGAGAAGCGGTTGAGGTATGGTAGAAAGAGCAATTGATGATGAAAAATGCATTTAGGAGACCCAATCACTCCGGCTTTTCGACGGCGGTGTTCTTTGTGGTTGTTGATGGCGGAGGCGGCGACCAGTGTATAAAAATGAATAATAGTAGAAAATACATATAAAAATATGAATTATATACAAAATTATCGCCTTAAGTCACGCCTTACAAACGACGTGGCTCGCCAAGGCTTGGAAAAGTTTGAGGCTTAACATTGCCGTTAAGTCACGCCTTACGTTATTTAGAACCTTGATTTTAGCTTTTGGTCATATATGGTCATTAAATTAATTTTCGTGTTTTTATTAAATTTTGAACTTGTTGAAATATATACATTATACCAATATGACCGGTAATAATGAGTTTTGCCAGTTCTCGACGTTGTTTCCAGCCAAACATGAATTTTCTGATCATCTTCTCCGGTCAAATTTGATTTTCCGGCGTTATTTCCGACATCTCTGTGAATACCCAAAATGGTCAAGAACTCCGGTCTATTCTCTCATTCTCTTTCCTCATGAGCTCCAAAACATACATCAGATCTTTGATCTGCGATGAACACATACATACATACACATCAGGTTACTGTTCATCGTCTTCAACCTCCGGTTATGGCCTTCTTAAGCAAATCTGAAACAATTTCTTGAGCAAAACTTCGGTTTTTCGAAGAATAAAACCCCAGAACTCAAAAAAAACATCCTCAAACAAATCATCCATGAACGATCTAGCAAATAGTGAAATCTTACACATATGTACATTTGGGTTCATGTTCAAAAAACATCCTTCTAGGTTTCATTTTGATTTATGGCATATTTTGTTTCGATTTATGAACCCATAACTCAAATTTAAAAACACACACACATGAACTTGAATCTGAAATGGAGTTCATATAAGAAATCTAGGATTTGTTTTTTGATGATGAATCTGAAATGGAGTTCATACAAGAAATCGAACTTTGGGATTTTTGGGTTTTTGATGAATGAACTTGATTTGATTTTCATGTTTCAGATCAAGAATACACATTGAAACTCATTTTGAAATCGGAGTGTGTTCCTTCTCGAAAATGGATTTCCGATCTGCCATGGATGTGTTCTTCAAAACTTGATTTATGATTTTATCTAGCTTGACTCTAAAACTCATTTTCTGAGTTGAAGTGGTTGAATGATTTCTGGGTTGAAGAATTTTTGGGTCAAAAGGATGAACATGATTTCTGAGTTCTAGAGATTGATGAGCAAAAACACCACTAATCTGGAACAAAATCGTATTTGGAGGAAATAATGCCGGAAAATCGAGTTTGACCGGAGAAGATGACCGGAAAACTCATGTTTTTGCCGGAAACAACGTCGGAAACTGACAAAACCCACTATTACCGGCCATACTGGTATAATATACACGTTTCAACAAGTTCAAAAGTTAATAAAATACGAAAAATAATTTAGTGACCAAAAGTTAAAGTACGTTACATTTTCAAATAATTATCCTAATTTATTTTTACAAAACAACTTTAATTTTGTTAAGTCACTTCTTACTAAAATCTTACTAAAAGTAATATAATAGTTTTTTTTTATCAAATTTTTGAGAAGCAAGTTTTGCTTTAGGTTTCACAAACATTGTAATGTTTTTTTATTATTTTTTCAAAATGCTTAGATTTAGGTTGTAATTTGTAAAATGATATATATTAGAGGAAAAATATAATCCACTATCTTTGTAAGGTTCTTGCAAAGGTTGTATTCATATTTTCGAAGGGACTCAACAAAATGAATAGAACCCAACAAAATTACTAGGGGTGTTTGGAAATGATTTTAAAAATAATTTATTAACTTATTTTCTTTTCAGAAAATCAATAAGTTAAAAACGTGTTTGTTAAATACTAACTTCTTATGAAAAAAAACTATTTTCAGCCAAAAATTTCTAATTTTTCAAAAAATCAATAATTTCATTGAAAAACAATCATAATTCCCAAACACACCCTAGCACCCACAAATTTGCCTAAACAAACATAAAATATCATATTTTTACTTCATTTAAAAAAAATCCAAACATAAATTCTCTCAAGGTATGGTCAAACACTTAGATATAAGCAAACCCAGATTTGGGTTCAAAATTCATATTTAAATGTATTGTTTTTAAGTCTATATGTTTTAGTAGGACTCCTGCTAAAATATAACAATTTGGCATGAGTCATATTGGCAGGTGTAATGTCCAATTTCCACAACCAAAATTCCATTTTTAATTACGATAAAACTTCACATTTATTAATCCAAGTTGAGAAAATCATTTGTTTAAAAATACATTTGTTTGAAAACAGAGTGATATGGTAACCGCAGAACCCCCAATGTTGCTGAGGAGTGTGTACAGTCACGCCTTCGCCTTCCCACATACATCAATGGTACCTGAAAAAATTATAAACAACTAGGTAAGTATGAAGCTTAGTGAGTTCCCCCCAAATACCATACATCACAAACACATACAAAGTATGCATACCGGGCCTACAGTCACAAAGACTGGATTGCCCCCGGGCCCACAACCATAAAGACTGGATTTCCCTGGGTATGTTGGCCTGCCGCTTCAACCCAACTGCTCCCCTGAGCCCCAAACCCATAAATGGCTCCCCTCTCGTGCCTACAGCTTACGACTGGCCCGCACCTGATATCTTGGCTTACAACACAAAGCAGGACCGCCTCAACCTGACCTACCACAAAATGTCGACATATATATAATCAAACAAGCAATCAAGTAACACATAAACACAAACAACTAACTACACAAGTCTACCCGTTTAACATCTCACTACTGCATTCTATGCCTCTTCCAGCACACTATGCGACTACCGGAAAATCTCCAAGGAATACATAACTATATGTAACCAGATGTGAGATAGACATTTGAACAGGTGATCCCACTCTAGAGCCACAACCAAACAAGGAATATGCAAGAAAGCCTAGATCAAGAGTTCTCAGGCTATCCTACGTGACTACATACAACCCCTAGGACACTCCACTAGACGATAACCAACCTATTGATACTCTAACCAGCATACCACTACTCCTACATCCTAACACACAAGGATATATACTGAAACATGCAAGGCTACATAATACAATCTTGTGGGTCGACATTGTTGTCTTCAACCCATGAGTATAGTGAGGAAACTCACCTAAATCGGAGACCCAAGAAACACCGCGAAACGCTCACTTTCTGCACCGATTGCTCCCACGAACCTACTAGCACTAAAAACACGGAAGAACCTAAATCAAAAACCCAATTCCTTCAAATTTTACCCAAAGACAAATTGGTCAAAAAGTTAACGGTCAACAGGTCAACGAATCTCCACGAAGTGACATGATCTTGGTCATGTCGTGGCTAACTAAAGAAAAAATAGTCGCGAGCTTTTCAACTGTCACGACGTGACAAGCAGTTCGTCACGTTGTGAAAAATGGCTAATGGGCAGCTTAATGGATTAAGCCCTTAATCCATTAATCCACACACTCAAATCCTCTAGAAGGCTTCCTTACACCCCACAAGCCATAAAATTGATACTTTAACGTCTTACATGTTCAATTCAAGTCTTGAGCTCGATTAGGTCACTCATGAAGAAAATATAGGGAAAGACCATCAAGCATGAGTTCAAACTTCACCAAACATCAAATATAGCACAACTAACCATCAAGAAACACAAAGGACCCATAAAGTTGCCAACTTTTTGGAATCCCAACACTCCAACTAACCTAAATATGGATAATAATGCATAAAAATCTAGATCTAGCAACAAGGAATCATAAATATTGAAACTTGAATACTCACAAGGGCCCAGAGAAGTTTCTAGAAGATGAAAATGAGGCTTGCAAGCTAGATCTAAGCACCAAGGATGATCCCATCTTCTTCAAGTCACTAAAACATCACCAAAAGCTTAAGGATTCATCAATAGAGGCTAGGGTTTCATTTGGAAGGGGATGAAGGATGAAGAGGATACCCTAGGACGTGATTTAATGGCTTTAAATATAGAAGAGACCCTAAAATTTGTGGGCTTGGGCTGCAACCATATTCATGACGTGACCACTATCTTGTCACGTCATGACAATCCTTCCCGAATACGCTCTTCCCATTTAACTCGTCACGTCGTGACCTCCCTACGGTCACGTCGTGACACCCGATTTTTCCTAAAAACCATTCTTTTATCTCCTTAATGCCTTAAACCGATCCATTTTGGAAAACAGGTGTTACAGCAGGAACTCCTGCCAAAATATAACAATTTAGAAGAAAGCCCTGCAAAGATGTCAAATTTCGGTAGAAGTTCTTGCCAAACTATCATATTTTTTTACTGAGAAATTGTTCAATTTAAGGTAGACTAACACAACTTTTTAACCCGTTTCTCGGTTTTTCGATATGTAATTATGTTGTTATTTTAATTTGAGTTTTTGGCAGGCTTGCGACACGACAGTGGGACTGGTCGTTGCGTGACATTTAAATGAAAGTCACGGCGTGACACTTAGATGTCACGATGCGGGCTTGTTGAATGGTGAAACCCTAATTCTCGGCCTTTAGGCACTAACTTATAGGGTTGCCTCATTTAGCATTCCCCATTCTCTGAGAACGTCCCTCCTTGCAAACCCTAGCCTCCCTTTGTGTTCTTGAGTTGATTTCATCCAACAAGCATCAACCTTCTTTCCTTGCTTTGAACCCTTATGAATATTCAAGATCCATCTCTTAAATGATAGATCTAGATTATTTAGCTTGGTTTTGGATCCTTCTTGTTGTTTGGGTGGAGTTTGGAAAACTCCAGACCCAAAAGTTGCATCTTGGTGTCTTATGAACCCTTTCTGTCACTTAGAATTAATAATGAAATTTCATTGGTGCCATGCAAGGTCATAAGTTCATTTTTAGTCCCTTTTGATCTAATTTTAAGAGATCTTGGTGCTTAAGGCATGCAAATGGATAAAGTTGGGAACTTTCTCCTTAATACCATCTTTTGATAAGATCTGGAAGGTTAGAGTTCAAACCTTAAAGGATTAAGACCTTGGGAAAAAGGTGGTCGTTAAGCCGTGATTCACGACGTGACAGACTTTGGGTCTCGGTGTGACCTTGAGGGTTCCACGACTATTTT